TTCTTCTTTTAAAGATTTTGATTTTCCTTTATTTTTTTCTAATTGTAAATTTTGTGATTTATGTGCTATAATATTACATACACAACGACCTTTTACATTTCTTATTTCTGATTTATAAACATCTTGATGTAGAATTACATTAAGTCGTTCAATACTATGATCATAACAAACAAATAACCGCTTAAATCCTTTTTCATTATTTTTCTTTGTATTGCAAAATAATTCATGTGTTAAAGGATTTGGCAAATTAAATGCTATTGTTAAATCTTCAATAAGTTTTCATAAAACTTCTTTTCAAGATTTTATTGCTCGTTCTCCTTTAATTAAAATTGCATTTCCAACATATTCTGATAATAATAATGTAAGATGGTCTCTTTCAGCTTGTACAGATGATATTTGTAATTTTAAATCCTCACTATCCATATGATTTCTGCTAATGTTTTGTTTTACAAATTTTACTCCAAATCGTTCTAATGCTTCATCAAATGCAAAATAATGTCCAAGACGAGTAAGATTAACTGTACAAACATATTGAAGAAGCTTTTGTAAAGATAAATCATTATTAACATAAGATAAAAAATATGTTACTGATCTTGCATAATTACTTTTTCCAGCAACTGCGAAAAGTGGTGCAAATGCTGCTAAATTTTTAAATTGCATATCATAATTTCCTCTTCTAATTCTTATTTTATGTCTAAACCAATATCCAGCCCAACAAAAATAATAATACCATACTTTCAATATATTATTATTTTCATTTTCAATATCTTTTATAGTTTTATTTCTATTTTTTAAATATTTATTTATTGATATACCAATTGCTACCCAAATTAACTCTAAAACACAACAAGTAGCTGAATAATCGACTACTTTTTCTAACTTATCTAAATATTTAACTCCTAAATTTGCTGCTAAATTAAAAATGCCATATCCTGAAAAAATTGTAATTAAAGCACTACACATATCTTTTGATGTATGCCATTGACCTAACAGTAATCTTATATTATCTTTTTTTTCACAATATGAAATTAATCGTCTAAATATTGCTTCATCACAACCAATATCTAAATTATTACTATTTAATATTCCTACATCATCAAAATACATTTTACATGCATTATGAACATTAATATCACAATTTGGATTTTCACCTGATTCAAGAATAACTACATTTGGTGGTGGAATTTTACATCCTATTTCTATATTTTTTGTAATTTCATCATATAAATTATTTATATCCCAACTATTTAAATATATTTGTAAAAGTTTGTTAAAACTATTTTCATAATTTTCTAATAAATTATTAGTAAATTCCGATTTACCAAATAAATTATTATTATTGTAATTATTATTATTATTATTATTATTAATATATTTTAATGGTATTGGTAAAAGAAATTGAAATACCATACATAAAGTAGCATGAGAAGAATCACGTGTTATGTTAAAAATATTACCATATTTAAATGTTTGTTCTTTAAAATCAATATTATCAACAACTGAAATGTTCCAAATATTTTCTCCTTGAAGTAATCTATCTTTTGGATTTACTTTATTCATTCTATCTTTTTCTAATTGTTTTTCATGATATTGTATATGTGATATTATATTTGCTATATGAAGAATAGCATATAATGATGTTATTAATTTAGATTTTTTACAAAGAGAACTCATAATATGTGTAAGCCAAATATTAAGACCGGGAAATACAATTGTTGATATAATAGTAATAAGAAATATTGATTTTTTTTCTGCAAAAGTTATATCAAAAATCTTTTCATCTTGATTTCTTTGTTTTCTTTTTTTATTTATTATATCATGTTTCTTTTTTTCTAATGTAATTATAAGTGCATCAAAAAAATTTAATAAAAAATATGGAAAACTATTTCAATATTGATTTAATGAATTTGGATTTTCAATAATATGTTATTTTTCATATATTTCATTTTGTGATTTTAATATCATATTACCGAATATTTTCTCAGCTATTTTTGAAGTCTTTGATGTAAAATTATAACTTTTATTAACTAATTTTATATAATCAACTTTTCCAACTCGTAAAGCAATTTTTATAAGAAATAAACTTGAAGGGTATTATAAATTATTTTGTACTTACGATATTGATTGTTTAGATATTGATTGATTAAACAATGTTAATACTGGACTTAATTTTATTAATAATTCTTCTTTTGGCTTGATTTCTTCTGATGCTGCTACATTTAAAATCCATTGTCCTAATAGTTCAAGTGCTTTAGTTGTATCATTTTTATGCTTATTTTCACATGAAAATGGCTTTTTTCCACTGCCTTGCCTTTCAAAAAAATGTTCACCTTCTATATTAAAACATTTTGAACAAATATAACGAGAATGAAATTCATTATTTGATTTACTAATAATATTATTTTGTGTATTAATTTCTTTAAAAATAGGATAAATTTTACATCTAACACAAAGTACTTGTATATTTTTACCAATTATACATACTGAATGCTGTATACAGTTATTTCCGCAGCTAAAAAAATATTTATATTTATTACAAAATAGACAATAATGATGATATATCTAGCTTTGTTCAATAGATCGCTCCTTTTTTATTTTTGGTATGTAAAGTATATTTTGATCGAAATAAAAATGAGATGCACATACTCCTAATATATGTAATTTATTTTCTGCTTTCATATTTATAAAAATCTTTTCATTAATTTCCCAAGTACCTATTAGCTTAGTTAAAGGATGTTGATTTAATGCTTTTTTAGAACAGCATTGTATTAAACCATCAATCATATCTAAAACAACATATGACGTTAATATATCATTAATATTAAAACTATTTTCGATCTGATAATTACTTTCTTTATCTATTGATTTTGTTATAATTGATTCAGTATCTAAAATGTCTTCAATATTATTCCAATCTATTTCACTATTAACTT